GAAGGTGGAGCCGAGATACACGATGAACGCACTGGAATTCGCAGTTAAGAAAACTCAAGTCATTTTGATTTTGAATATAATATGCTAAAAAATTGTAAAGAATTGGAAGAGAAAAATCATTAGAAACTAATGGAAAAGATTGTTTCTCTGACATAAATTTGGGTTTAAGGTTAAAAGAAATGGTTGGAATTTCCTTGTTTTCCTCCTTGTACACTAATGGCGGCCAGAGTTGCTGCTATAAAATTATCGTCTTTGATGGGATTAAGGTTTCACTGATTCTGCTCTGAGATCTTGAAGTGTCTGAACAGTAAATGGCAGTTTATTCTTTGGTGATTTCAGGGACAGCTACATGAATTTGGTCAAGTTCTTATGCTTCATTTGTCTCAAACTTTTTTTCTTTCTATTTTATATATGCAATTTGGGTAGTTGAAGATGATAATTAGGGGTGCACAAAAAATCCGAATATCCGATTTTGCGAAAAAAATATCCGAAACCGGATTTGGGAAAAACCGGTTTTTTTTAATCGGATCGGATTTTTTTAAACCGGTTATTTTAACCGGTTTGGAGAAAAAAACCTAGACCGGTTTTTTTATCGGATAAAAAACCGGTTTGAAAAAAATCGGTTAAAAAACCGGTTTTTATCCGGAAAAAAAACCCGGTATGGGTTTAAAAAACTAGCCGTTAATATAGCCGTTTGGGGGGGGGTTTGTGATCATTTTTGACCTTTTTTTCTTTAAAAAATTATCATTTTACCACCCTAAACATGTATAAATAGGTTGGGGATGTATTTGGTTGATTACAACTTTCTCAAATCTTATTACACAATATTTAAACATCTCTCAAATCTTATTTTTGTAATTTTTTGTTCATCATGAGTAACACGGCTGAATCTTCCGTCGGGGGAAACCTTGAAGTCGTGAGAGTGATCGAACACACTCGAAACAAAGATATTTGGGATCATTACGATTTATGTGAGATGTCAAATGGCTCGAGGAGGGCGCGTTGTAAACTTTGTCTAAAATTTCTTGCATCGGAAGGAAACACAACGTTGAAGAACCATTTGACAAAATCATGCAAGACACTTCGCTCAAGATCGGATCCTAGTCAATCGAATCTTACACCGTAAGGTGGTGTTTTTGTTTACGACAACGAAAAATTACGAAAAGCGTTTACAAAGTTCGTGATTACAAAAACATTGCCGTTCGACCACTTTGATGATGAAGATTTCACGACAACAACTCAACAACTAATGCAACCACGTTATACTCAAGTAAGTCGTACTACCCTTAGAAGAGATGTTATAAAAATGTGGCGTACGGCGAGGGAAAAAATGATTTTAGGATTCCAAGAACACCGTTATGGTGTGTCGCTTACATGTGACGTTTGGAGTTCCCCTCATAATACCGGAAATTCTTTTTTAGCCGTTACGTCACATTGGTTAGATCAAGATAATTGGCAAATTATGAAAAGAACAATCGCGTTTGAATTATTCGGTGAGCCGTATACCGATGCTAATTTATTTACACTTTTAAAAAGGGTAATTTGTCTTTATAAATTAGAAAATAAAGTTTTTTCTATATCCTTTGATAATGCATCGAATAATACAAACGCGGTTCCAAGATTGAAAATATTACTTTCACCGATTTTAGACGGTGCGTTTTTTCATACCAGTTGCGTTGCACACATAATTAATTTATCCGTGCAAGCCGGTTTGGAGGTTATTGAGCCGATTAGATTAGAATTTAAAACAATGATAAAATCGGTTCTTTGTAACAACAACAAAAGACTAAATGATTATAAACGATTTTGTAAGTCCGTTAATAAAAAAGCTTTGGGTCCTAATTTGGATTGTCCAACTCGTTGAAACTCAACTTGGATGATGATGCATACTGCTTTAAGGCAAAGGGAAACATTGCAAACATTTCACGATCGGCTTTTCGAGAGGGGTCATGTCCCAAACATTTATCCGGATTCGAGTGGAAACTATAGCAAAAATAACCGATTTGCTTGAGGTTTTTAAAAATGCAACACCTTTTTTATCCGGTGTTTATTACCCTACTAGCCCGTTGGTTCTTAATCAAATATTTTTGTTGGCTACCCGACTAAATGACTTTGAATTTGAAACAGAAGTTTTTCAAGAAATTGGCTTTGCAATGAAGGAAAAACTTTTAAAATATTTTAAGGAGATTCCCCCCATTTTTACTTGTGCCGCCACTTTAAACCCAACGTTAAATGTTGGTGGGGTTGAAACACTAATTGAACAAATTACGTTTGCTTTTAATCTAACCGATGATGAACCCAACTTTGTCCAAAACCAAATAAATTATTTTAACAAATGTTTTCGAGACATGTTTGCAATTTATTTAACTAAATACGGATCAAGTAGTGTAATACACGATCAAATGAGAATGAATGCGGAATCATCTAGTAGACGTCCAAGTAACATAAATTTGAATCTTTTTAACACTCTTGTAAATTCCCAATCCAAACGATCACGTACTACCACCCCAAGTAGCGAGTTGGGAAATTACATGTCATGCGATTTTCTATCAAAAATGACATTTGAAGAGTTTGAAAGTTTAGATATTTTGGCTTGGTGGAAAGAAAAGGAAGCACAATTTCCGATTCTAGCCGCCATGGCCCGTGATTTACTAACCGTCCAAGCTTCTACGGTAGCTTCGGAATCCGCTTTTTCTGTTAGTGGTAGGGTTATATCGCAACGGAGATCAAGACTAAGTCCCGAGTCGGTGGAAGTATGCATTTGTTTGAAGGATTATTTGGATGGAGCGACTCGTAAGCAACATATTACCACCCTAGAAGATGCAATTGATGCCGATTTGGAAGCAAACTTACACATTGAAGAAGTCGAACTTGGAATATCCCCTCCAAACGAAGAAGGCGAAGATGATGAAGAAGAGATGGCAATGTAGTTTATTTTTAAACTTTATTTTAATTATCGTAAACTTTGTTTCAATTATCGAACTTGAAGTTTTTAAGTATTGAATTTATCGAACTTGAAAGTTTTTAAGTATTTTAATTTATCGAACTTGGAAGTATTTAAGTATTTCAATTATCGTAAACTTTGTTACAATTGATGACGATGTAATTTTAATAATATTAAAATCAGTTTTTTTATAACCGGATTTTTAAAAAAACCGATTTTTTTAAAATCGAAACCGGTTACACCGGTTAGGATATCAGGCCCTCCAAACCGGTTAGAAACCGAACCGGTTATTTTATAAACCGGTTTTTTTTCTATGAAAAAAAACCAAATCGGATAAAAACCGATCCGGATCGGATTGAAATCCGAATTACGTGCAACCCTAATGATAATGGTGACAAACTTGAAAAAGCCTGCACTCAAAATCGGTGAATTAGCAATTTTTTTTGGTTAAAAAAATATAAATATAAATAAACTAAGCTAGTTTGTTCGAATTTAAAATCTTTAGAAAAAATAATATTTTAATCACTAACATAATTTAATAGTATCATTTGACGATACAATTACTAAGATTGAAAAAGGTTATGTAACATATTACATTAATAATAATATAAAGAAGTATTTGGTGTAAAATTCGAGTATCGGTTTGAAAAAAATTTCACATTGAAGTGTTGTCTGGTTTTTGAACTACTTTAATTTACACTATCGTACTTAAAACAAATTAACCTCTGACTTCAACTCAATTAATTCGGTCATTCTTAAAAATGACAATGTAATGCTTTAATTTACAGTATCGTACTTTAATTTATAGTGATAACAAATTTATGTGGGGGGAAAGAGCAAGAAAATTTTCCTAGAAAAAGTGGGTTGTTTCTTTTTGACAAAACCATGTAATGCTTTAGACCAAAATAAAAAGCCATCAAAAGTGTATATATATATGTATAGTTTCCAAGAAGAAAGTAGAGAAAAGAGAGGCAAAAATGGTGAGGGTTCCTTGTTGTGAGAAGAAGGGAGCTTGGACTCATCAAGAAGATCAGATTTTGGTATCTTACATTCAGAGATATGGCCATGGAAATTGGAGGGCACTTCTCAAACAAGCCGGTACTTGTATATCTATTTTGTCCGTTTGTCTGGAAAATGAACCGAAGGGAGCTGTCGAGCAGTCGTCGTCCTGAAAATTTTAATTTATTTTTTATTTTTCGTATATTAAAATTTTATAATTTATCCCTTAGTATGAGTATGAGTGTCTAAATGGTTTTTAACTATATGTTAAATAATTAAAATCAAAGATGCTGCGTTTTGTTTAGGTTTACCGATTTAACGTGCCACATTAATATTTTGTTACTTTCAGTAACAACTGTTAATAGCAAGTGACTGATTTGCTACAAATCGATAACGTCAATGACTTATTTATTATAAATCGATAACATTAGTGATCAGTTTATTACTTTTGAAACTTCAGTGAGAAAAACGAAATCTTACTCCGTCCTTAATAACCATTTGTGTAGTTTACCCTTAATATATATATATATATATATATATATATATTGATAAATCATGTTGTTGCAAAAATCCGACAGGCAAAATGACTAATCCTCGTAAATCCTGCATTAATGAATAAACAAGCAAGTACATCTATAAAGCCATATATACCTAGCATATTGACATGTATCATTGTTGATAGACCCTAAGGTACCGTTTGGTTCAAGATATATTTCATTATGGGAGGGAATGTTTTTTTCCCAACTGAATATACCCATATTTGGATGGACAATATTACCAAGCGCCAGTAAAAAATTAATACCAATACTGATTCTTTACACTATTTTCCCAGGAATATTAATCCTCCGTCTCCCTTAGGTATTTGCTTATTCCCGTCATTGTTGTCTAAAATAGCCTCCCCACTGCTGAAATCTTCTTCTTCTTCGATTTGGCTTAGGTATTTGCTTTCAAAATTGAGATTCCCAAAATTGAAATCCCTAAACCATAAAACGTTCATTCCTTCCTCACGCACCACCGCTCTAGCCTCCAGCTGTGCGCTCTCGGTTCGCAGTCGTTAATGGTTGCCGGCTCATTACAGCGGAAGGAGGACAGGAAGAAGAATTTAGCTCTCACTCCCTTTGCAAAGCCATTGATCAAGCAAGATTTCAAGACAGTACTGTTCTGTTTTTTCAGTTAATTGATATGTGTATGGTATTTGCCTTAGTTAATCTCAATGATTTATATCTCATTTGATCTTCCTTTTTCCTCCATTTCAGTCCATACTTCGACAAGCCAAATTTGACAGGTGAATTGATCTATACCCAATGATCCCTTAAAACTGGCAATTTTTCATTAGTTGTTGTTGGTCATAATCTATTCGGAAAATCCACCCTTAATTTTTACAGGTGAATTTGCCGTCGCTTTGTTCTAAGTTGCTAATCGATGCATTCTTTTTTATATATGTATAATTAATTTTCTTAGCTTGCGTTCCATCTGGATTTCTCTATCTGTTTCCCTTTATTGCGGACTTTCAGATTACTCTTTTACTGGTCTCTTTCCTTTCTTGGTTCATGTTAAAAGAAAAAAAGAACTAAAAGATTAAAATTCTGATAATTCAAGTGAAAAGTCGAAAGTTATGTTGGAATTTCTGTTGCATTTTGATTATTTGTTCAATCCAATGGGAATTTCATTTTTGGAGATTTTTCTTTTTGATTAATGGAAAAGATCTGAGAAAGAAAACAACATGATATGGTTTTGTGTACTTGTAATTTTTGGGTTTGGAAATTAGAATGGACTGTAATTTGTTCATAAATGTAAATACATGCCTTTTTAGTTTATTGTAGGTGTGGAAGTGGAAGTGGAAGTGGAAGTAGAAGTAGAACGGATTTTATCTAAACTTGTTTTAAGATTGATTGATTTTTTTCTATAAATTGATTATCAAATTGTTATTTGCCATGGACTTAGTCTGCGATTTCTTGACTTTGATGTCTTTCCAGGGTTCTTATCGATTGTCGCAGTTCGCATTTCCACAATTTTTTAAAATATGAGACATTGCTTCTCTAGGGTAAGTGCTTTTAGCACATGTTCTTTAAAGAAAGAAGCACAAAACACACAAATTAGGCAATTTCAAAGGCACGAAATTGCTTGGTGCTAGCATCTTCGATGCCGATTTGACAGGTTTTCTCCCAACTATTCTATGTAAACTAACTAAATTCGAACATTTTTCATTAAAGACCTTCAAAAGTCCCTCCATTTTTCTGTTGTCTCGAAAAAAGTATTCGATGAGACTAATTTCAAGTTTCGAGATTGTTTTTAAGGTCTGGTAATGGTTTGGGGTTTTCAAACATATGATTGCCATATAGGTTGAGGTCATTAAAGGGCTGGTAAAGTAATGTAATGTGGTTAAGTTGGCGTCACTGGTTAAAAGACCTCGATTCGTATCGGTTTTCATGAAATATCTGTAATCTTCATGAGTTGAGGTTGTAAAAGGCCTCGGGTAAAATCAATTTTTCATGGATCTTCCGCTGCTTTTATGCTCATATATGCTTACATAATAGACATCGACCTTTTTTTCGAGTTGCAGCTAGTAAATAGTTCAGATAAGTGCATGCCTGCAACTTTAGGCAAACTCTCGAATCTTTTGATCTTTGTCCCTGCTCGTGTTTTAAACGGTTTTTGATTAACCGAAACGATGCAGGAGCCGACCTTTCCGAAGCTGATCTTAGGACGGATAATTCATTGTTCTATCAGATGATATCTTCGTTCGAATCTCCAATAGTTCCTACCTGCTGGCAAATTTAAGCAACATGAACTTGGAAAGCACAACTGTAACGGGAAACACATCTTTCAAAGGATCAAATATAACAGGTGTTGGTATGTATAAACTCCAGTTTACTCAACTCTCCGTCAGCTGAATATCGATGAACTGTGCATAATTTGCCTGCGAATCTCATTACTGCGTAGTCGGTCAATTTATTTGGTTGTCTTCTTATGATCAGATTTCAAAGATGTACCATTGCGAGATGATGAACGTGAATATCTTTGCAAAGTTGCAGATGGGTAAGATAACTAGCTATAACAAATGCTTTAAAACATGTTCTACATTTCTCCGATTATTGAAATGGCGTTTTGGTGTTAGGGTGAATCCGACCACTGGAAACGCAACACGGGACACATTGCTTTGCAATTAGATGAAAGATCGAGAAATCACCGTCGCAACGGGTGTTATTCGAGGTATGCAAATATTTTTGCTGTGAGAAACCATGTCATATGTGATCAATTGTGTCATTGTTTGTATTGCTTCCCACTTCGAAGACATGTAAAATGCGTATACCTCGTTATGTAATGAAATTTCAAACCAACTGTTGAGGTTTGTAAATGTTTTGCTGTGAACAACTATTTTCAACCTAATGATGTATACACTTTGAGTTTCATGACAAAGTTCATGGCCATAAACTCTTTTAATAGCATGTATATCATAAGTATTTTTTGATTTTTGGTATATTCGAGCAAGGTTCGAGGTGAAAGGGACGACGATTAGTCGTCGATCCTACAATCTTTTCGGAAACAACCAACGACCATTAGGTCTAAATCCCACATTTTTCGCCTAGGCGAAAGGCATCCTAGGACCTGAACACTAGATATATTGAACAATCACCTTCGAGGTGAAAGGAACGTTGATGGAGCTGATTTCTAGGTTTTTTGCTCGGCTTCTTTTTCTTTATTCCTGTAATTGACGTTTCGGGGTTTCAAGCTCGGGCTCTTGTAGTCTTGTCCATGGTGAAGTTTACATGGAATTGCAACAATCATTCATATTGACATTTCTCATTTCCTTTCATTGACGTTTCAACTCAAACGAGATTTTGTTCTCTCGAGTCATTTCTCATTGATGTAGTTTTATTTTTGTACAACAAATGTGCATATGCATGCACATGCACATACAAATATGCTACGACTCTTCATTTCCCATTGATGTGTTACTTCTCATATTTCACTAACCTAACAGAGAAATAAAATATCAAATGTAAAATTATAAATTGACACTAACCTAACTGAGAAATACAATTATAAACTGTTTAATTTATAATTTTATATAATATATATAATTTTGATTTTTGTTTAATTGTATAAATAAAATTTTAATTTATTTATACACATTTATAAAGTAAATGCATTCATTTATAATAAAGTCATCTTTATACATTTTGGTAGGAGTCAAATGGTTCATCTATTAAAATGTTCATACGCTTATTTAGTTAAATGTTGATGTAAAATTTTAATATATTTTTAGATAAATTATGTAAAATTTAATATTAATTAAAATTATACTTGATATATTTACTCGTTTATTCTACCCAATTATCTTTTAAATTTTATAAAAAATTATATATAAATTTTATTAAAAAGTATATATATTAAAAATAATAAAGTAATATATTCTCGATGAATTTTTATATAAATATTTTCATCTAAATATTTAGAATTCCACTTGTTAAAAATATAGAACAAAGATAATTTCGTAAAATATACATTCCAATAATCTTTTATTACTTCAACCAAACACTGTAATCTTACATTCCTGCCAAACAAACCAAATACAGTAATGTAACATTCCCAGTAATGTGTTAGGTAATGTTACATTCCGGTAATCCTATTCCCGGAGGTAATCTTACATTCCGTGAACCAAACACACTCTAAAGGTTACGTACCTTTAGGGAAAATGAACTGACTGTTACACCGTGACTTCCTAGAAACCACGATCGAATTCTAGAGGCTCATCATATCGAAATTAAGTCGGAATCCAATTCCGAGTCTACCTAAATGATGGTTACGACAGTAATCATAAACGTAAGAGAAAAAATTGAATATAAATACCTCCAATTATTGTTAAAATAGAATTTCTACAAACAAGATGTAGTTACATCACCAATGAATATATGATATCACTATTAAACACATTGAGAACGCTGAATTTTATTGTATGAAATATTGAAAGCCGTCAAAGTTTTCTAAGCACTCGAAAACTCTCAGCAGATGGTATAGTTTCACAAGACGAATTCTTGTTTTTTCTATGCTTATGGACCTATGGACTAGTCCTATTCGAAAGCCAACTATATCCATAAATTGGCCTAAACATGCATCAATGTGGAAATATTCCACGAATTCTCACCATCACAATCAATTTACTTATGATTCTCATGCAGGAAATAACTTAAAACAGTTGTATTAAGCGGTTAGTCAACACAGGATGGCTGCTAAAATTTTAAGGTTATGATGCATTAGATAGTAGTATATATCAATGAAACTAGAGATATGGCTTAAAAGATAAATTGAGTTTTTGGGGCATTTGCAACAATGTCGTGCATTGCTGGAATCAAAAGCATCATTTTTCATGCTGAAATGTTTTTAGTAAATTTATAAAGTTTACACGTATATCCAAATCATGCCTAAGCTTAACACAAGCTGGATTTGGAGGAAGATTATGAGGCTAAGGGAGAAAGCAGCTCAAATTCTTGTTAATTTGCCCTTGTCGCATCACTCTATGACTTGAAGAATTTGGATTGATTTGTAGGTGAAGAGAGGATACATCTGCAAGATGTTGTATTGTGGATGCATCGCCAGTTTATGCTTTCACATAAGCATTTATTCATAAATAAGAAACATAAACCACGGTAGAAGCCGGTGGTCCCTTTATTCATTGAAGTAAAATAGGAGTTGATCTGATTACAGAATTACAACTTGAAAAGGGAAAGCGCATTGCCTAGTCCACCCACTGAGGTATAAGATTTGAGATAATTTAGTATGGAGGTTTCCGTGTACAATGGTGGATTATTTGGGGATAACAATTGCTTCAAAGGCCCATAAACCCTCTTTGATGGCTGTAAATGTGTTGTGAATAAGCACGCCAACGATATTCTCGGCCCTACACTCTTCGCCAACACTCTGTGCTCCACGCTTTTCAACTTGTCATTTGAGATTAGCTGCATTCCAATATACAAAATTATTAACTAAAAATTAGATTCGGCTTCAAGCCGCTAAGTCTGCCGGATGTGTGTATGTTATTAATTGATTAAGAAAAATTTTGAACCTCAAACTATACAACACGTTATTTCATACCTGTAAGAGGTCACCGATGTTGACTATGAGAGCATCTTCCATAGGAGGGACATCAATCCAGTGATGCTTATGAAGAACTTGAAGCCCTCCGATTTGATCTTGTAAAAGGATAGTGAGGAAATCGGGATCATGGTGTCGGACATGTCCTAAGGTTCGGTCTGGTTCAGGGCAAGCCGGATAATATTGACAGCCAAATGTATGTCCTTCCGAGCACCCTATATCTTTGAGGTGGTCAGGGTCCAAACCCAGGGCCTCCGACAGCAACCCAAAAATAACTTCCCCAAAGCTTTTAACATGCTTCGAGTACTCCAACAGTATATCACTGCATTTCAAGTTCACGTGCAAAATAAAATATTATCTCTAGTCTCACCACCCATACATAATTTTATGTTAAATGTAAAGAAAATATTTAAAATATATAAAAATTTAAAAATTTTAAAGGCCACCACCGTTCAATCTATCATTGAATTTAATCTAGTGTTATCACAAAACCATGTGTAACAGTGTGAGTGTGTTTACCGGCAAGCAAAGGGATATTTCTCCGGCGGCGGAGTATCGGGAGCCATCACGCAGATCAGAGTGTCTCTCCAGCTCGCACCTTTCGACTGAAGCAAATCATAGTTAGTGTAATACCGGACGATGTCAGTCTCTCGCGAGTAATATTTCATCTTCACCTCCCTGGGTTGTTCGTGGAATCTCCGAACACCGTCGAGAACCTCCTTCAACACGTGTTGTGGGATTCCATGGTTTATCACTTGGAAGAACCCCCATTCCTCCGACGCCGATCTCATCTTCTCCACGATTTCTTTGTGCTCGTTGGGATCTAAAACACCATTTAGATCTATGATGGGAACCTGGAAATCACTATGTAAATATGAATCCGTCAACGTTGGATGATCATGGAGATCTTCAGGCGACATGTAAAAGAATGGAGGGAGTTTAGCAATGCCGTCGTCGACGAGCCCTTGAACGCCGGCTTTTGTGTCGTCGAACGCCTTCACCGCTTTCTCTCTGTCGTAAACTTGGTCTTCTTTCGTCGGTGACGTTTTCTGGTGATCATTGCCTATTTCCATTTCCGCCATGAAAAAAACTTACTGAATAGCTAAAACTTATTAGTAGGATGGATACAAAGAGGATAACTTAATTTATCAATGGAATGAGTCATCAAGACAATAACGGATAAACGAATCACAAGTCGATTGCCGCTGCATTATTGAGTATTGATTATGAAATAAAAAATACACATGTTAAGAGTGATCTTTCTTTATAATTTATTGAAATATGTGCCTTTTTTAAACGGCAAATTGTTTTCTTCTAAACAACTTGTGTTTGGGTCGGTTCATCGTCAAAAAAATATTCTCCTAGTTTCGTCATCAAGTCATTAGAACAACTCGTATGAATTATTTCAAATCGGACGTAATATATTAATTTGATTTCTTTGGTTCGTAAGCCATTTGCAAAAGATTCGGTGGATAATTTTTAATTTGATCAGTTTTCACCTGATTTTAGTGATAATTTTCGTTGATGGTTAAATTAGCTTATGTTGGATGCGGATGAATTATTCTTTTTAATTTATGTGAAGACATGTAGTCGGTAATTTTAAGAAGAATGACGAGTTAAAGAATATAAACAATGTAAGACCGAAAAAAGGACACTGATCGTCTACCGTCTAATTATGCATGAAGGTTTACATATTCGTTCTTTGTGTGTAGATGTTACGTCTAAGATTATAATTGTTATTCGTAAGTTAATAAAATAAATTGAGCGAACGTTATATATATAGTATAACTTGTTGACGACAAGATTCACAGCGATCAAATAAAATAAATTTAATTATTCAAAATACATTAATTTTTGCAAAATTTCAAAATTTTCAAAAATGATAAGTAAAAGATCTTTCTCAAAAATTATGATCAACAAAAGAGAACCGCAAAACGTACAAGAGATTCTTTAGCTCTAGTAAATTATGTACCTATGTCTCATGTCATTTTATCAATAATTTTTTGTCAGATCACATGTCATGTCAATAATTTTGGGTGTCATTTAACACACTCTACCCAAGACAGCTCTGTCAATGCTTGTTGATGAGCATAGTAGTTTAATGGTGTAAATGAATATGAAACTCTCTGAAAAAGGGGACTAAACGAGATTTAGTCTTTAAATAATATTCACAAATAAATAAAACTTTTTGTATAGGGAGATAAATAATAAACATACATACAAGACAAGATTCTTTTATTGATTTTGATTTATCATGTAGGAGGAAAACAGGAGTGGGTTAATCCAGTGGGCGATTACAGGATCACAACTTGAGAACAGAAAGTCCATTGCCTGGTTTGGAGACGTAAGTCTTGAGATAATTGGGAATGGTGGTTCCCTTGTACAAAGCCGGGTTATTTGGGGATAACAATTCCTTGATGGGGCCATAAACCTTGTCCGATGGCTGTAAATCCGTGGTGAACAAGCACGCTAATGATACTCTCGGTCCTACACTTGTCGCCAAAACTCTGTGATCCACGCTTTTGAACTTGTCATTCGAGATCAGCTGCATTCCCAAGGATTTAAAATTATTACAACAATACACTTGGAAGATGCAGGTGAGGGTTCTTTTCTGTTACCTGTAAGAGATCGCCGATATTAACTATGACAGCTCCTTCCATTGGACAGATATCAATCCAGTGATCTCGATGGAGAACTTGAAGCCCTAGGATTTGATTTTGTACAAGGATGGTGAAGAAGTCAGGATCACGGTGTCGCCCAACTCCTAAGGTGCGGTCAGGTTCGGGGCAAGCCGGATAATATTGACAGTGAAAGGCGTACCCTTCCGAGCACCCTATGTCTTTGAGGTGGTCGGGATCCAAACCCAGGGCCTCCGATAGCAATCCCAAAATAACTTCCCCTAAGCTTTGAACATGCTTTGAATACTCCATGAATATATCTCTGCATATTTCAAGTTCATATATAAAAATACTACCACAAAATCCTGTGCTATATCCAGAGATAGACCTCCGGAAACCTATTGGTCTTCGTTAAGTTGAAAACACTGAAATTTGTTAAAATTTTATCAGTGTACATAAACAAACATTAACAAGATCTCACAGATTCATTAGATCCAAATTCAAAATTCAATATCAAATTTGTCTAATATGTAAGTCTATTAATATACATGATAAAATTCAAAGTTTAATTATCAAATCTATCTAATTAATTAGCCTATTAATAAACATGATGATCTTAAGATCGGCGCACACTAAAAATTACTATAAATAACTCGAATGAAAATTAGCTCTTTCTCATAACTATAATTTTGTAGGTAAATTTGATTTGTTCTCATGATGTGTAAAATTATTTTAATATAGACAAATACGATAATGTGTTACCTGCAGGCAAAGGGATACTTCTCCGGCGTAGGATTCGGAGCCATCACACAAGCCAGAGTGTCTATCCAGCTCACACCTTTCGACTTAAGCCCATAGTTAGTGTAATACCTAACCATGCCGGTCCGGCCATAATATGTCGTCTTCACCTCCCTGGGCTGTTCGTGGAATCTCCTAACACCGTCCACGGCTTCCTTCAACACATGCTGTGGGATTCCATGGTTAACCACTTGGAAGAATCCCCATTCCTCCGACGCCGACCTCATCTTTTCCACTATTTTTTTTTGGTGGGCAGGATCTAAAACACCATTTAGATCTATGATGGGAACTTGGAAATCTGTACGTAAATGTGGATCCGTCAACGTTGGATGATCGTTGAGAACTTCCGGCGACATGAAAAAGAATGGAGGAAGTTTAACTATGCCGGTGTCGACGAGCCCTTGGATGCCGGCTTTAGTGTCCTCCAAGGCCTTTACCGCTTTAGATACATCGTCTACTTCTTCTTTTCTCGGTAAAGTCTCCATTTCCGCCATGATTCCCTAGGCTAAAAGCTTGTGAAGGAGACAACTAAACTGATTCATATATATAATTGTATATGCCTTGGAATTTGTATTAATCGTTTAGTTATTAAGTCATTTTGAACAACTTGTACTAATTATTTCATATCGGAAGTAAGACTTTGAGTTTTTTATTCCTTTGGCTCGTAAGCAATTTGAAAAAGATTTCTGCCGATAATTTTTATTTTAATCAGTTTTCACCTATTTGTTGCCATCCTACTTTCACTTCTATCATTTTGGCAAGTTTAATTTTGTTCAAACTGGAATTGTTTTAGGTGCATTGATGACAATTTTTTTTTTATAAAACTAAGATTGTTATAAAGTAATAAATATTATCAATCATTTGATAATAAACGTCCAATCATCCTGCTACAGCCATTGGTGCTCGAATCCGTGAGTTCTAAGAACATCAAATTTCTTTAATCACTGAGATAAATTGGTTCGTGCGCATTTATGACAATATAGATAAGATAAAAGAAAATATTAATTGTAGCAAGCTGACTTAAATAATTTATATATTTTTTGTTAATTTATCAAATGACTTTAATGATTAAAAGAAATGTCATTCTCTACATCTTGAGTTTAAGTAGTTACATTTATAGATATGTATGCATTATCAATAGATAAGAAAGATAATAGATATTATGTTTTAGTCACAGTAGACTATTCAATAAATGTTTTTATTTTCATCATAGACTATTAAAAATACTTTTATTTTCAAATAATAAAATTTTGTCAAAAGTGGGATTAAAGAAAATATATTATTAAAATATAAAATATTAAAAATATTAAAAATATATATTATAAAATAGTAAAACTAGATCTCTTTTTTACCCCAATCTCAAAATTTAAACCCTAAACCCTTGCCTTTCTTAAATCCCAAATCCTAAACCTCAAACTTCAAACCCCAAATTATAAATCCCAACTCCCAATGACTATTGCTTAAATTTTAAACCATAAACCCTAAACCTATAAAGAAAAAAATAGAAGTTAAAATATATTTATTTATGAGTTATAAATTTTAATTAAATCTAAGTTATTTATTTAAATATAATGATGATAAATTATTGTAAAACTTGTTAGTTTTACATGATGTAAGCAGCTCATGCCCCTATATATAAAATTACTTATACTTAATTAAAATTTATAAACCATAAATAAATAACTTTTAATTAAAAGTAAAACAACCCTAATATCAAATTTTAAACTCTAAACCCCAAATTATCAAACCTCAAACCATAAAATCATAAACCATAAAACCCAAACCTAAATCATAAACCCTAAACCCTAAACCTCAAAACTTATATCTTAAACCCTAAATCATAAACCTAATATTAAAAAAAGAAAATTTTATTTTACTATGAGTTAAATAAATATTTATTTATAGATTATAAATTTTGATTAAATTTAAATTATTTATTTATTTAAATACAATAGTTATAAATTAGTGTAAAACTTATTAATTTTACACAGTGTAAGCCAATTCTAATATATATATATAATGACTATAAATTACTGTGAATTAAAGAAATATCTTCTTAATTTTTACTATAAATATCAACCTTTAATTTTTCTATCTAATTGGAAGTCAATCATTGCTTTTTTTATTTCTTTCGTTCGTAAACAAATTGAAAAAATTTTGTCGACAATTTTTAGTTTAATCAGTTTTCACCTATTTTTTTGTCATCCTCTTGCTTTCCTATCATTTTTGGCAAGTTTAATTTTGTACAAATTGAAATTGGTTTAGGTGCATAGATGACAATTTAAATAGGATAATAATGACACAAATCAATTGATTTAAATGATTAATGATTAAAATTATTTTTAAAGGTTTTGGGTTTGAGTATAATACATGTAAGGCTATTTAACTGTTCTTTGTCAAATGATTGAAAATGTTTCGAACATATATCATATTATAATCACCTCAGATTAATAAAATAAAATAAAATAAAAATATATGATAAAATTTTTTCAATAAATTTAATTTTTTCTATTTTAAGATAAGAAAAAATTGTCAAAAGTGAGATTAAAAAATATATTATTAAAATATAAATTATAAATTATTTAAACCAAATATTTAAATTTAGAAATTATTGTACTTATAACATAAATTATATTTTATTTTGCTTGCATTTACTTATGAAAAAAAATAATAACATAGAAAAATAGCTTGCATACATACATATAATCATGCATCACATGTCGAACCAACTAATAACATATATCAACTGATATCTTACAGAAAAGTTAGCTAAATGACAAATAAAACAATGTTGATAACTCGATTAAATCTTTTAAAATTTCCAGGTGGTTTTTTATTATTCATACATGTTATAAATGTATAATCATAAACAACCATATTCAAGTTCAATTATAAAGTGGTATTTTAAATTTTCATTTAATTTTTATTTTAATTTACCTTTGAAAGCATATAATAAATAATTTTTTGAGCAATTCTTCCCTAAAAGAAAGAGAAGGAAAATTTTACTCTTAATGAATAATGAACTCACAACCTAAAGGAGACGTCAAATGTAAATTTTTAACCATCTACTCAAGAGATTATTTATTATAATAAATAATTTAAATCTTATATAAATTAAACTTATTCAAATATTTCAAAAATGACTAATATCTAATTCAAAGTCATTCCAATGTTATTTAACAGTATCTTTTGGTCTTAAACTGTGTATACCATTTGAAACACACAACCCAATAGCTGTAATATGCCAATGAAGACAGATTCTCTGGTAAAATGTAGGGTAAAATCCATGAGTATGATTTGATGGACAGAAAATTTACAGTCTAACCCGAACGTTTCGGTCCCGGCAAAACTTACTTCCACAGCTACATTTGAATGCCTTAATTGGGTGCTCATGATCATTAAAGTCTATACCGTAATCCTGCATTTATGTCAATGATTAATAATAAGGAATATATATATATATATATATATATATATATATATATATATCTTCATCAAAGTTCTATATTTATAATCAAGTCATAGGCTCAAATTTGGGTATGATTATGAGATGCTTGCATGTATTCAATACGAATATATTGAAATTTTTTTCTAAACTTTTTTATGCATTAAAACGATCATATCTCAATATCAGACATGATACTTTAAACAAAATAGACTTTAATGCACTTGGTGTTGGTGAGTCTGAAATGTCATCCAATATTTTTGTAAATACTTAATATAAAAAAGAAATAAACATATCTTCATCAAAGGTCTAAACTCCTAATGACTGTGAGATGTTTGTATGTGTATTCAATACATGAATTTTCATTTTTTTTCCTAAAATACTTCATGCATTAGTAGGTAACATATCCTGCAAATACATTTGGAGGGTCTTTGAAATATCTTATCTTTATTCTCATGTCTAAATATGGATATGACAGTGATACGTTCGGAAAACGAAAAAGTCGAGCTAAGATAGACATCAACTTACCCAAGTTAGCTCTTCTGAAGCTTTCACCTCTCTAGTAGTAAAAAGGGCAAGCTGTTCATAGAAACACAGAAAATATATAAATAACTTGGCACTTCAAATGTAGGTAAACAACAATTCTGTTTTTTATTATAGCCTCGACAGAGTATTTGTTACTGGCTTGATTCATACATGATAATAATGGCGATCAGGGGTCTCCACTTCAACTGGAATGTCGATCAAGTTTGCATCAAAGCATCTGAAATGTTAAATGACAAACATCATACCGGACTGTTGGCAGAGATTTACTACACTTTTAAGAATATGATAAAACATAAAATACAACTAAGAAAGGAACCCCGACATCCTGCATATGTTAGAAAGTTTGAAGTACAAGAAGCTGCAACATTAAACATTGGTGTTTCAGGATAATTTAAACATATGTTCAATTTACAGCAATATATCATTCCCTGGCACTTGGTCTGGCTAGGTTCAGACTTCTGAGCACCCGATATTTCATGTCTCGTGTTCAAGGTTAACAAATTCGGTTTATGAGGACAATAGCGATTCAAAATGCCGCTGCACCAGCTATGTAATAAAGAACATTTTTAGGTCTTTTGGGTATGTTTCTCACATAAAAACCTGCAAGTTCATTACTACATAATAATAATGTAACCAATCCGAACAATAATGTCATTATCACACTAACAAAATTTACTAAACATGTTTTTTCCCGGAGTCTTTGATCATGTTTTTTTTTCTTCTGACATACAAGAAGAAATGAAAGAAGGCCAAGATTGCCATAATGCTTAAGAACGTATATTTTATTTCAGGTAAAAAAATTTACCTATGATTAATAAACCTGGCAACGTTACCGCATAAGGTTGCATCCAGACAAAGTGCTTCTTCATCCTTTAAAATTTTCTCTGATCCCCAGTCTGCATCGAGTGTAACAGGATATGTATGTCTCTCATCGCCACTACCTTTTGAGTTCCGTTCGTACAACTCGGTGTTGGTCACGATCTCCCCAACATATTCACAAACAAAGGTTCCTTTTGGCAAGTCCCGGAGTGTCTTAACACCCCAACCTTTTCCTTCGCGAGTCCAGAACACCTAAAGTGCAAATCAGGGAATAGCTTTTCATTATCAACACTAATGCACCATAACTTGACACTGATGAAAGACTTTAATGGTGTACATGAAGAGCAGTCTCTAAATGCTAAATTGAAGTCATTTTTGTAAAGTTGCATTTCGACATAGGAAACAGAAATAACAAATGAATGCATAAAACATATTTCCATCTAGGGAAGAAGCAAATTGCTGTTTAACAAACTATAACAGGAGCTTGCTGAACTTTACCTGCAACTTGCATGTAATACCTCTCTGTACAACCCGATTTCCGCACTGCATCTTACATCCACATTTTCTCCAGCATTCTTTAATGAATTTTCTGACCAAGTGACCCTTGCATTTTTCAGGCTTATAGTCATTCTTCGATCTCTCTAAAGGACAATCCAGACAATAAACAAAGTGGTGCTCCTGAGGCTTCAGTTTCATGGACATACAAGCATTTAGAAATTCTTCTCTTAGTTGACCCTCTGCTGTGTAAGCAAACTCCCCACTAGTTTCCTGAGCACAAGCACATGGTATCGGTACTGAAAGACAGTCTCCTGAACATCTCGAACAGCAATCCTCATCTGCAACCCGAGCCAATGAGATATGCACATAAGCATCTTGATATATTACGTTATCTCGCATGTATGTAAACTTTGGCAGTTTGTTCTTGCCAGTTGCATCTACCAATGAAATTTTCACATTTTCTGTGCCCTTAGTTATGTCTGAAATGATTTGAAAGGAACTTTTCTTATCACAAGTAACAGGTTGCTGCTGAATTTTTTTACAGGAATTCGAACAACCAGAAGAACTTGAATCTTTATTGTTCATAAGGGTAACCCCTTGTTGAAGGCTTGAAATAGGTTTTTTATTCTCTTTAGGAGATAAAACTTGGCTCGGGCTTCTCTTTGTAGATGAAGCTTGATCTTCCGGATCTTGCAAGCATAACCGTTTAGGCAATCTGCTAGACTCACCAGCCTGATCTTCCAGATCTTGCAAGCGTAACTGTTTAGGCAATCTGCTATACTCACCAGCCAGATCTTCCGGATCTTGCAAGGGTAACTGTTTAGGCAATCTGCTAGACTCACCAGCCCGATCTTCCGGACCTTGCAAGGGTAACTGTTTAGGCAATCTGCTAGATTCATCATGCTCCACAACGGCATTTTCCCCGTCATCTTTAGCCTATATAAATGTTAACAGATTAGAAAACCAACATTATCGTCTATCATGTCACTGCATGACCAACAAAGCAGGAAATGTACGTTATGACCACAAAATGTATAAACAGCCAAGTAATGAAATAGAACATTGCACCAAAAAAGGAAAAACACGTAAAGTACTTTATCTTCCTTGAGCTCAAAATATGCTTCGATAAGTGCCCGGTAGTCTTCTGCCTCGATTGGTTCCCAGTTGTAATCAAACAATTTCAGGAGCCGTTTAAGCACCAATTTCACCTCTTCGTCAGGAAGGCTTAAAGCTCTTGTAGCATTAAAGGCCTTGCGAACTCTTTCAATTTTAACCATCACCAAAGATTAGAGGAAAATTTTCGACTCAGCGATCACCACTTTTCTTCTTCTCTTATCTCATATTATATAACCTTCAGCAGTTGAGGTTGCAAGATTAACTAAACAAAAACAAAGTTACTTGTTAAGAGTAGAAGTTCATTGCCATTAGTAAAGTCCAATCAATGATGCTAAGTCAGAAAGGCAATCGAGTACATATACATTTGATTCACCGAGCATAAATCCTTTAACTGAAATAACCAGTTGCTACATCTCAATAAAACAATGAAATCTAGAGAACAAAAGAGATGAAATATTTAAGCATGTCTAAAGTTTCATTTGAGTAGCCATATGAACCAAAGTAATCCCTTTCTTAAAATGCACTCATTGACTACTTAGACTTGGAATGGCAACAAAGATACCACTTTTTTTATAAAAAAAAAATCTAAAATGTTTGATCTATAACTAAGAACATTAGACTTAAAATGTTCATTATTGCTACCAGACAAATCCTGGCAAAAGAATAACTGTTCAAGTCGTTGATCATTGATTTCTTGGCATATAAGGTACCAAAAGCCCTCACTCAAAATTAAGTTCCCCCACTCAATCTCAACATATTATTCCCCAAAAGGCCAAAAGTAAAACCTAAAGAAGAATAAAACGAAAACAAAATATCCTCTTTGCGTCTATGTTCTAAACAACCTAAGTAAATTCATCTGGCATCAAAAAGGGAATAAAAGAAACCAAAGAGAGCACAACTATGTTTTCTTATAACCAAATCACACTGCTAAATCCACTTAAACATAAACCACAGATGGGCAGACTCTTTTCCCCGCTTGGTTAGCAAGAAAATGCAGGTTTACATTAAAAAAATTGTAGCTTTAGATGCAAACGGTTTCCTTAACCCCGTCGTAACAAAATATAATCATCGAAAAAGCATCATCATCGTAGGTAAACCAGCGACCGAAGCAATGATAAAAGAACATAGAAAACGTACGGATAAATAGAGGAAAACAGGAAGAAACGGAGGAGAAGAGGAAAACGAAGCGTCACTCGCTCAAAGCAGATAAAATTGGGGTTTCGATGATTAGAAAAAAACTTTGGTGCTTTATAAGCAATACAATGATTCGGCTGCTCTGCTTTTTAGCCGAAGGAGCTACTCGTTAATGTACGGATTGATAACGACATGCCGGGCCGGGCTGATATTTTACCCGACTTTTTGTCTTATGGGGAGAAAATTGTTTGCTTTTTATATGATTGATTGCTCCAAAATTTACGAGGCTTCGAGGGGTTTTTTTTTCCTTAAAGAAAACCTTTTTTTTTATAAAGACTTTGAAAATCAAGGAAAAGGAAAAATTATTATGAGGAAAATATGTTTTTTCAAAATCATGTAGCCATATTTAATTTAAAAATATATTTTAGAGTAATGAAATACTCTCAATAGTAGTTATTTTGCATTGGATTATCAGGAATCGTATCCCTTCAAACATGTTAAGTATTTATCAATTCTTGTCAAGTTTGACAAATTATCCCTAAACAAATGAATTATTTTAAAACTATCATCTCCTTTGTTCCTTTAGAATATATGATCATCCTTAATTTTATAATTTATTTTCGTCTTCCGTCTTTGAATTAAGTCAGATATTATATGATTTTGGATATTATAAATAAAAAATATTATTATTATAGTATAATTTTTTATTTTAAATTTTTAATATTTATTATAAATAATATGATGTATACAATAAAATGTTTTTGATATTATATTTTTTATGTTTTTATTAATTTTATCAAATAATTTAATATAATATTTAATTGTACAACTCATACATGTAACATGAATAAAATAAAATAAAAATGTTATATTTAACACATACTTACACCGGTGTAAGTGAATAAAATATAAAACTATATCACTTAACACATGCTTACATTGGTATAAATATGTATATCTCTCAATATCTTAGTGCCTAAAAATAAATACATAATTATATTGGCTTAAGTATGTTTTTGTATTTTTAAGGAAATAAAAAATTAAAATTAAAAATATATATTAAGTTATTAATGTAAAAAATTTAGTAAAAATATATATAAATTAGAAATAATAAGAAAATGTATCTTTATGAATTTTCATGTAATTATTATAACTTTAATATTGAAAATTTAAATTGATAAAAAAAGAAATATATATGTATATATATATATATATCAATGACAATTTGATAAAATATGTATTTTTTTATCTTATATTATTTCAAACAAACAATGTAATTTTACATGGCAAACAAACCAAACAAGATAAAACAATATTCCATTAATGTGTTAAGTATTAGATACATTTGTATTAGGGTAATAACAGAAGTTAGTTATTTCTGTTAAGTAGTTTTCATTAATTATTGTAATATTTAAAGAAGATTGAATCCTCATTATTGTAACTTGTGATTTCTTCAAGAAATAAAGAATACTTCTTTCACGTACTCTTATATGGTATAAGATGATTTTCTTTTCTCAATAGTTTTCAATTTTTTCTTATTCCTCATCACCATTTTGTTGCGGAAGACGGCTATCGAATAGAGCAAAATCGCAACTGATAATTTGAGGAAAAAATGAAGATAAAAGAGACAAAATTTACGTGGAAAATCCCTAAATAATATAGGGTAAAAACCACGGGCAATGGTAGAATAATTTCACTATGAGAAATTAGGAATTACAACTTTTCTTGATCTACCAAGGAGAAAACAATGATAATTCTCTCTTGATAAAAAGGAGAAAACAACTCTCAAGAAACTCTCTAAATTCTCTAGTATTAGGAGAAATCTAGAATGACTTGGGATGGTTTTGAAGCTAAATGAGCTAGGGTATTTATAGTTGAAGCTTAAGGACTAATTTGTAAATACCCTAAATTATAATGACTAAAATTGAGATTTTACCATTGTTGAAAAATCAACAATTGATGCACCTTTCGGTGCCCCCTTTTGACAAAATAATTTGGTGCCATGTGCACCGATTTTCAACAATCTCCCACTTGAAGATTTGATTGGAACAATCATATCTTCGCACCATTCTTTCTACCTTGTACCATCATGTTTCTTATGTCTCTGACAGGCCACAAGAGGATCGACACCAAGTAAATTTATCAGCATTGATCGTCTTCGTCATGAAATCTACTATGTTGTCTTTGGTATGGATCTTCTACATATCTACATTCCATTCTTCCACCTTTTCACGAATGAAATGGTACTGAACTTGTATGTGCTTTGTCCTTGAATGAAATGTTGGATTCCTTGCTAGATGCAAGGCGTTTTGACTGTCATAAAATAGAGAGACATACTCTTGATTGTGCCCAAGCTCCTCCAATAACATTTTCAACCAAATTGCTTCTTTATTGGCTTGTGTAGCTGCTACATATTCCACCTCTATTGTGGATGTAGCCACAACTGACTGTAATTTTGAAACCCAGCTTACAACTCCACCAACAATTTTGAACACATATCCTGTAGTAGATTTGCTTTTATCCAAATCCCCTGTATAGTCAGAATCTACATACCCATTGATTAGTAAGTTTGATCCTCCGTAACATAATGTAACATTTGAGTTCCCTTTGATGTATCTCAGGATCCTCTTTACTGTATTCCAATGCTCTTTGCCTGGATTCGCCATATACCGACTAACCACTCCTACTGCTTGTGCAATGTCTGGTCTTGTGCATATCATAGCGAACATTAAACTTCCCACTGCCGATGCATACGTTACTCGAGACATCTCCATCCTCTCTTCTTCATTGCTAGGACTCATACTGGAGGATAATTTGAAGTTACTAAAAAGAGGGGTATAAATTGGCTTACAATCTTGTATGTTGAATCTTGACAAGATTTTCTTCAAGTAATTCTTTTGTGAAAGCCAAATCTTTCTATTACTTCTATCTCGGTGAATTTGCATCCCTAGAATCTTGTTTGCTGATCCCAAGTCCTTCATTTCAAATTCTCTAGCCAATTAAATGTTCAATTCTTCAATATGATCTTTGTTGGGTCCTGGAACCAACATGTCATCTACATACAACATCAATATAACAAAATCGTTATCACCAAACCTCTTGAACTAAGCACAAGGGTCTGCATTAAGTCTGTTATATCCAAGGCATATAATGAAGGAATCAAATCTCTTATACCAATATCTCGGTGCCTACTTTAGACCGTACATAGATTTTTTCAACTTGCAAACCAAGATCTTCTTTTTTTTTCTTCAAAACCTTCAGGCTGGAGCATATAAATCTCTTCTTCAAGATTTCCATGAAGAAAAACTATTTTAACATCTAGCTGCTCTAGATGTAAGTTCAATGTAGCACACATTACCAAAACTACATGGACTGTTGTTAGTCGAACCATAGGAGAAAAGATTTCATTGAAATCAATACCTTCTTTTTGAGCATATCCTTTGACTACCAGTCTTGCACGATACCTCTCTACTTGATCGTCACTATTTCGCTTGATTTTGAAGACCCATTTGTTACCAATTGGCTTCATTCCTTGTGGTAGTGGCACAATGTCTCATGTATTATTTTTATGAAGGGCTTCAATTTCTTCTTGCATCGCCATCATCCACAGTGAAGCATCTGAGCTGTTTATTACCTCCTGGTATGTTGATGGCTCATCGTCTTATGTTAAAAGACAATATGCAATATTTCCTTCTATAACATAATCTGAGTACCAATTGGGATGTATTTTCACACGATCTGATTGACGAGTTGTTGGAGCTTCAGAATTCTTTGGTTCTTGTTCATCATGTGCTGGTTCTGCTTCAGAAGAATCTCCTTGTTCAACCTCCTTTTCCACATGTATCTGTGTAGTCTCTGACTTTTCAGCACTATCATCATATTCTTTTCTTTGTAGCTTATCTTCTACAAATATAACATCTCTTCTGATGACCACTTTGCGGGTAGTGGGATCCCACAAGCGATACCCCTTTACTCCATCAGCATACCCCAAGAATTTGCATTTCTTGGATTTTGGATCCAACTTTGAAATTTCTTGGGAGTTGTACATCACATACACAATACTTCCAAATACATGGAGGTTTGAATAATCAGCTGGTTTACCAGTCCACATCTCCATTGGTGTCTTCAGCTCTATTGCAGTTGATGGAGCTCGATTCACCAAATAATACGCGGAATTGACTACTTCTGCCCAGAATGATTTTTCTAGGTCTGCAGCCCTCAAGATTGCTCTTGTTCTTTCTAACATGGTTATGTTCATCCGCTCTGCCACTCCATTTTATTGAGAAATGTTTGCTACTGTGAACTGTCTTTTGATGCCTTCTTTTCTGCAAAAGTCATCAAATTATTCACTTGTGTATTCTCCTCCATTATCTGTTCTGAAACACTTGATCTTATTTCTAGAATCAAGTTCCACCCGCGCTTTGAAGTTTTTGAAAGTTGAAAACACATCTGACTTCTTCTTAATAAGGTATACCCAACATCTCCTTTGTTAAGCCTGGAAGTAGCTTTTGCTCCAAAAGGACTTTCATTCCTTGTTCTGACATGTGTCCAAGTTTCTGATGCCATAGCATTGCAGAATCTGAACTACATGAGGGAACATAGGCTTCTACTTTTAGCAAAGTCTCTCCCTTCAGCATGTACAAGTTTGCAGCTATCTTTTCGCCTTTCATCACCACAAGCGCTCCATGGAACACCTTCATGATTTCCTTCCGTGTTTCAATCTTGCTAGTATTATTATCCAACAATCTGTAGGATAATAAATTTTTCTTCAGGCCTTTCACGTGATGCACATCTCGAATAACTTTAATTGTTCCATCATACATCTTCAATTTGATGGTTCCCACACCAACGATCTCTAAGGCATGATCATTGCAACTATACACAGATCCTCCTGAGACAGGTTCATAATGATGAAACCATTCTCTTCTTGAGGTCACGTGATATGTTGCTCCCGAATCAATGAGCCATATATCTTTATATCGCTTTCTACCTTCCACGGTGGTTGACGCTTCACAGCATAAAGCATCTCCATCATATGAAGTATTTGCGGTATTGTCTTG